AGCTCATCTCTCCCAGCAGGAGCGGCAGAGAGGAGAGGAGCTGCTGTGTGCGGGTGCAGCCCCATTCCCCGTCCCCCTCTGCTGCTAGGAGGAGGATGCAGGAGGGAAGGTGGTGTTTTATTGCTTGTCTTTTGTTCCTCACTAGCCAAATCTATTTTAATCAGTGATAAATTAATTTTTTCCCAAGTTGAGTCTGGTTTTGCCCATGATGGCAATAGGTGAGCAATCTCCCTGTCTTTACACAGCCCACGAGCTTTCTGATCCTCTTTTCCTGCTGAGGGGAGGGAGCGGCTGGGTGGCCCTTAGCCGCGTCTGACCCACCATCCTCCTTGCACATGCTCCCTCCTCAGTGCCCCAAGTGCTGTAGGAGCGCAGGGTCCCCTTCAGCACCGCTGCTTGGGCTGGGTACTTCCTGCCCCAGGAAGGGCAGCTGTGCCAGGCCCGGAGGGGCATTGGCTTCAGCTGAGGCAGCCCGGGAACACATGGGCACTCTGCTCCAGGGCCCTCCTACTGCAGGGGGTTGCCAGAGGGCAGGGGAGGCAGCGGGGCAGGCAAGGAGGGCAGCTCACTCGGAGCAGACACCTTCCAGGATGCGCCTTTTCTTGCTCAGTAACTGTATGTGACGTAATAGGAGTCTGGTCCTGGCTGACCTGTGCTGGCTGCTTGTGTCGGGATCGTAATGTTGCACAGTCCCAGGAGCCTGGGCCTGGCTGCAGAAAGAAGTGCTTTGCCCGGGGACCCTTCCTGTCTGAGGGGTGCTGCAGTGATGGGAGGGGGCAGTGGGTCCTCAACGCGGTGCTGCTACAGTGATGAAATTGTGACCCGAGGGGCTGCCACATCCAGTATGGGAGCTTGGCACCTCCCCTCCTGCAAGGGCTTCCCCATGCACCAGCTTGTCTCCAGCACACGTGGGCACCCAAAGTGAGTGCTCGGGTGCAGAGGGGCACCGCAGCTGTGCTGGGGGCAGCAGACATGGTTGGCTGCTGTGGGCATTGCTGTGCTGCTCTTTCTTTGACTGACCAAGCTCTCCTGTCCCTGCAGTGTATGTCGTGGAGGAGCGGCGGAGAGATGATACGGGCGAAAGCGCCTGCCTGACTGCGTGCTGGACAGCACTCTGCTGCTGCTGCCTCTGGGACATGCTGACCTGACTCTGCTGCAGCCGCCTCCCATACCTCTCACTGAGTGCTATGCAGGCTCCCCACTCCTGTCCTGACTTCCTTCTGTTACTGTAATCAACGCTCTGCTTTGCACAGCCAAGAGTTCCTGTCTGCCAGTCCTAGCGCCTTGTTGGGGTGGGGGGTGCACTCCTTTATTTTAGTAAAGGAAAAATCCCTTTTTAACATTTCTAAGACTTTTGTTGTAACTTTGAAGAATGTGCTAATGGTTATTTCAGCCAAAGGCGTTCTGATGAAATGTATATTTATCAGTTGAAATTTTCCTAGTCCTAGAAATGAAGACGTATGCAATAATTAAAGCCAACAGTTGATTTTCTTCGCTAGGTCCTGACTGTTTCAATAAATCTGTCCCGTAGAGGGTGTGCTTCCCCCATCGCTGTCTATTCTCAGCCTCCTGCATGCGCTGACTCTGCAGCAGCAATGATGGACTTGGCTTCAAGCAGCTTTGCTGCAGAAGTTCATGCCTCGACCCCTCGCTGGGGCCTGGACTGTGGGTGTCTGGACCTGCTGTCACCAGTATCTGGGAGATTTTCTGCAGCAACCTGGTGCATAAGCCATGAGAGTGCAATGAAACCAGCTGGGGCACCTGTGTCTGACACCACTATCCCCTTGTCCTGCACAGGGCAGCTCAGTCAGGTTTTCATCTTCCTGCTTACCCAGGGCTGGATATGCAGGTCCCCTTCTGGGACCGGGGCCCTCTCCAGCAGCCCCTGGGATGGCAGAGAGCTCAGGGAAGCACATGCTGAGCTGCTGCAAGTGTGCTCCAGCAGCTCCTGGGGGTGGACTAATCCTGCTCAGGGGTTTTGAGCAGTTATCCATCACCGCCCTGCTGCACAGTATAGGCTTGCAGGGAGTAAATAATTAATAGGTAAGAAGAAACAAGGCCATGGATTAATTTAGTGCTGAGGATTTATAGCTGAAGCTGTTTCATGGCACACCTTCACCTGCAGAGAAGAGAGGAAACCTGCTGCATCCAGGCTCCCTGAGTCCTGGCAGCAGATGCCAGGAGAGGGGACAGTGGCCCAAGCTGAGCTAAATGTGGGTTGTGCTCGTCTGGCCCTTAAGACTTGTCATGTATGTGCTGCATCCAAGGCAGCAGCTCTGCTCCCCTGCTCCTGCATGGGCCTGGGTCTAGCATCCAGGCCTGACGGAACCGATGCAGGGATGGGGCTTAGCTGCAAACTGCATGGCAGGACCATGGCTGCCATGCCACGAGGCTTGCTCAGGACTCACAAAGCAGCTGGCTGGGTTCCTCTGCACTTGTTTTTGGGAGTTGCCCCCTGAGGGTGCTTGCTGCCTCTGGCACAGCCCCAAGCATGCACTTAGAAATGCAGTTTTGGGGCTCTGGTCTGGGGCAAGACAATTTGATTTTGGTTCAAGCCCCTTGCCCTAAGCTCAGGTCTGCTGCCAGGCTCCCGGGGGCTCCCTGCACCAGGCACAGTTGCTGTCACCTTCCCAGTTGCTGTCACCTCCCTGGCAGCTAGGTAGCCATCGGGGCTCAGGAGGGTGATCCCTGGCTCACCCCGCCTTGGCAGGGGGTAAAAGCAGCAGTGTTCAGGAGCCCAGCACCCACGCCCCTGCCTGCCTGGCTGCCCCCTCTCCCCTCCCTCCAGCCCCTCATCCCAGTGTGGTGGTCAGCCCACTCAGCCTGGCCTTGGCTGCTCCCCCGAAATGGCCTTGCCAGGCATGAGGCAAGCCCCCAGCCCTGCACAATCACTTCACAGCCAGAGGCTGGTGCTTCCTCTGCTTCAGGCAAGAGCAGGAGCTGGGCTGGGGCCATTTGCCTACAGCCCCCAGCATGGGAAGGGGCAAGGACTCAGGTTTGCTGCTCTCTGCCTCTTGCTCTGGCACCCATCACAATCATGAACCAAGTGGCTGCGGTCCTGGGCTCATGTGGCTAACAACGGCAGCACACACCCCTGCAGCAACCTGCCCGTGGTGCCACAGTGCCTGTCCTTGGGGACGCCACATGTCCCACACTCATCAGGAAGGGCTGCCCTGGGTTCCATCCACTCTGCACGGTGCAGGGTGCCAGCTGCCTGGGGCTATGGGGGAAAAAAATTGGCTCAGGGTGCTAGAGAAGAGAGGGGTCTGCCAGTGCCCCAGTGAGCCTGGACACCACCTTTGCCATTCCAGTACCAGACCAGGGCAGGGGCTGAAGCTCAGCCCAGCCTGGTACAAGGCGGCCCCTGCAGCAGGGCAATCCCTGGCTGCTGAGCCCTGCCCCAGGACTGGGGTGGACACCTCGTCCAGGACCCTCCTGGTTTGCCCACCCCTGCATCTTTGCCGTGTGCTGCCAAGCACAGCAGCTGGCAGATGCCAGCAAGCACCGGAGCCAAGGTGGGGAAGCAGCAGACATGGCCGCTTGGAGTCGGATAGGGAATAGTGCGCCTCTGCATGCCCACACAGCAGCACAGAGAGACCCAGCAGGAGGGGAGCACAGAACACCCAGCCGGGCTGTGCCCAGGCCCATCACAGCGTCCATCAGCCCCTCACAGGCCCACCCACACGCCCGGAGGAGCACACGGGCACAATGGCAGGCAGGAACCCAACGTAAGGACACTTGAAGCACAGACACCTTGTCCGGGCCTTTCTCAGGGCTGTCCCCACAGAGCCTCAGCCCCATGGCCAGGCTACACTCATCCCCACAAGTGACCCAGAGCAGCTCTCCAGATCGCCTTTCGGAAGAAGGGGTGGATGTCTGGGGGTGGGGCACATTACTGGATGCACGGAAAAGCTGTTTGGGATTGCACAGGACTTGCTATGGGATATTTAGTGGAGGAACCTAAGGCGGAGGTGTAGGTGATTTTGGGAGGAGTAAGTGTGGACAAATAGTGAGGTATGGGGATGAAAGGACCAGCTGGATGTAAATGACCAGCTGGTCAGTACACTTGTCCAGCGCCTGATCAGCGCAGCCTGTCTGATCTTAACTAAATTCCTTATAAACTCTGTCCTGGGTGATGGCTCACTACTGAGTGTGCACGTGTGTGTGCAGGGTGTGAGTGCACCAGGGGATCAGCCCATAGGCCTCGTGTCCATGGGGCAGCAACTGCAGGTGTGTGATCACCAGCAAAGATGAAGCCGGACCAGCCAGTGAGCAGGTGACATGGCCTGAGGGGAAGCGGGTGGCAAAGGGCCAGCCCAGAGTGTGACAGCACCCCTGTGTCTACAGGGCAAGAGCACGGGGAGTCAGCAATGGGACCTGGAAACGCCTGCCCAGCTCCAAGATCCCAGCTCCTGCTGGCAGGAGAGGAGACAACCCCGAAAGCTCCATCTCAGAGAAGCACCAAAGCCAGGAGTAGAGGAAGCAGGAGGCCAGGCTGGTGCACTGCAAGCACGGAGCACAGGGTGGCACTGGCCCTCCACAAGGGAGGGAACCAGGGCCTGTCACCACCGAGACAGAATAAATGACCACCCATCACTGGGAGAGTGGGGGGTGGAGGGACAGGGGGTGGAGGTGACGGCTGGCCCTGGCCTGCCCCTCCCACCTCCCCTTTC